TACAGGTAGGTCGCACTCGAACTTACACATTAAAATGGACTGCTAATGCTGAATTGAAACCTACATGGGGGCAGCCATGATGTGCACTCACTTGGCGCGAAATTCAAATCAAGTAATAAACAAGCATTAACCTCACGTTTTCTAAATAAATTACTGTGACACATGTCATTTTCCAAGGCTGCAATAGTCTCAACACTTGAGCAAAATTCCCCTAGAAAATAACTAAAGAGTGCACATCATGGCCGCCCCATGCTAGGGCCATTTCTACCTCTATGCAACTGTTTGATTAGCAGTCCATCTTAATTTATAAGTTCGTGGTCGCACTACTTCCGGATTATTAATGAAATTTTGATTGTCCGCGCGCAGGTTATACCGTTAGGAATGGCGCACGTCGAATTTCCCGAAAGCGGTAACAAGTACTCGTGGCGAAAGGTGACGACGACGATTCACAACATAATCGTCGGCAAGCTCTGGGTCGACCAGCACGGCGACATGGACATTGTCGGTAAGGGACAGGCCGCCGGCATCAAGTGCCACCTGAAGTACATCCCGTACTCGTACTTCACGCGCGAGACTCAGCGGCGGGGGAAAGGGGCCGTCATGGATTCGCTGAAGAACGTCAAGTGGATCATTAACGGCACGTGGGACGACAAGGTGGAGATCGCGCCCGTTATCGGCAGTTCCAATACGCTCGAGAATCCCGTTTACCAGACCGGGGCGGTTACGGTCGCGTGGAAGCGAAGGATGCCGGCGCCCGACGCCGAGAAGTTTTACAGTTTCACCACTCTTGCCGCGCAACTGAACGAGTACGAGGAGGGAGTCGCCACTACTGACTCGAGGTAACCAATAGGAGGCCTTTTGAGGTTGTCAGCGGCCTTTAGAGCTTTTAATAATCTTTAAAGAGGATTTAATATTCAAATTTTGAAAATTCTTTATGTCCTTTTACAATCATTAAAGGTCACAAAGTGTCTGTTCCCGTTACCAACAGTCCTCCAAAGGGTCTTAAAGAACTTGTGGGAGTGGTCAATAATTTGAAATTAGAAGTACAGTCGTCTTCAGACTCCAAGAGGGTCTTTAAGAGCTTTAAAGAACTTGTGGGAGTGGACAATAATTTCAAATTAGAGGTACAGTCGTCTTCAAGACTCCAAGAGGGTCTTTAAGAGCTTTAAAGAACTTGTGGGAGTGGTCAATAATTTGAAATTAGAAGTACAGTCGTCTTCAGACTCCAAGAGGGTCTTTAAGAGCTTTAAAGAACTTGTGGGAGTGGACAATAATTTCAAATTAGAGGTACAGTCGTCTTCAAGACTCCAAGAGGGTCTTTAAGAGCTTTAAAGAACTTGTGGGAGTGGTCAATAATTTGAAATTAGAAGTACAGTCGTCTTCAGACTCCAAGAGGGTCTTTAAGAGCTTTAAAGAACTTGTGGGAGTGGACAATAATTTCAAATTAGAGGTACAGTCGTCTTCAAGACTCCAAGAGGGTCTTTAAGAGCTTTAAAGAACTTGTGGGAGTGGTCAATAATTTCAAATTAGAGGTACAGTCGTCTTCAGACTCCCAAGAGAGATTTTAAGAGTTTCAAAAAACTTGTGGGAGGGGTCAATAATTTCAAATTTAGAGGTACACTCACACCCTCCCCTCAAGTATAACCCGTTCGTTATCGCTAAACGCTTCCCATTTTCAGAAAAATTAAAAAAAATCGTCAACAAAGGTAAACAAAGCCATAAAAATAAAGAAAGAAGAGTGGGGGGGATTACTGGTCGATCAATTTTTGAAAATTTGCTTTCCTTTTAAGATTACGACCGGACCAGCGCTACATGGAGAACGGCAAGTGGAACGAGGCGAACGCGGAGAAGGTCCGGCTCGAGGAGAAGCAGAGGGCGACGCGGCGACAGCGCGAGACGGAGGCGGAACGCGCGGCCGCCGAGGGTCGACCGTACATGCCCTATCAGCCGATCTGGTTCGAGCAGGTGAAGGAGGACGACTCGGACACGATCTCGCACGTGTACAAGGGCGGATACTGGGAGGCGAAGGAGAAGGGGGACTGGTCGCAATGCCCGGACATATTTTAATGTTATTGCCGATAGTTTATTTTGTAAACGGCGTTGCTGAAGTCGGGTGCCCCGAAAGATCTGTCGACGATGGCAAAATGAAATGCTAGACATAACTTTATAGTCAATAATAATAATCTATCCTAAGTACTACTGATTTTAATGAAGGAGCTTCTGATAATTTTTCTAAAAATTGTTTGTTATGTAAATATCTGATTTTATCGCAATGTAAAAAATTGTTACTTATTTGTAAGGTCTATTATGTTGGTATCTTTTAGTTCTCTTAGTGGAAAATCTTTCGAGCATTACATGGTGTCATGGGGAGAAGGAATTTCTTTAACTCTTGTGATTTGTTGGGAAAGGACCATCGATATATGCAACCTACACGAATTTGTACGCTATCTACCGAAAACAAAAATGCGTTTTGGTATCATACGACTTTGATAGAGCGATTGTTGTTAAAATGTAATTTGCAATTTTTGACTATCTATAATTTGTGTATGTAAATACAATTATCTGTGCAACAAAGGCTTTCAACATGTAATATTGAATAAAGTTTATAACACTTATCACATTTTACCTAATCCTCTTTTAGTCAATTAAATTAATTAATTAAATTTAAAGGCAGATTCACTTAATTCTGGTAACCAAAAAAATGTATGCGTAAAAATTATGTACAGTGGCGTACGTCCAAGTAACTAAGGGGGTCATTTTTTAATGGAAAGCACAATTTTTGGTGAGGCATTATTAAAGAATGAACGAAAAATGTTATAAATTGTAAAATTAACTAACAGAACTATTTTCCTTATATTGAGTTTTTCTCTTCAATTTGATTGTGTAATACAATAAGTTTCTTATGCTGCTATATTCAAAGAAAGTGTACTATTTAAGATAATGGAAACTAGTAGTTGTACATGCCCCCTTGGCCATGCAGAAGTACGCCACTGACCACGAATTTAAAGCGCGTAGATTCATAGCAAATTCCTATAATGTTGAATACCATAAAAAGTTTTAAAGAAATGTTGTTTTGAAGATACATTAGTGTTCCAGACAAAATTTTCGAAGTTAAAGCTTCATTCACAATGCAAGAATCAATTAGAAATTACACTTAACGTAGAAGTAGCCATCAGAACTCATTATAGTTTAAGGGAAGGTTGCCACCAGAGACATGGAGAGGGGTTGCCACATATCTTCTACTACCAAGAAATACGACAAAGAAAGCAAATCCGGGATGTGTGAGGCTGAGGAGTATAAAATATGTTTAGCCATCAGAACTTTTTCACCTGCGCCTCCCCCACATTTATACTTCTCGTCCCACCCTGTGGACTATAGAAGTCTGCTCGACGAGCAAGCGTCAATGACTAGGATACCAAGTTCCTTACAGAAGCGCTGACGACATATGGTGCATTAGACGAAAGTACTTATTTTGCCCCCTTTAACGCGATTGCTAACTTGTTGACCTTGTATACGCACTTAACTGTTACAATTCAATAAATTACCGTTAAAATGCCCCATGGCATTCTTTATTGAAGAAGAAGTTTCCTGCATTGAATCCTTTTGAGAAGACAAGAGGGAGAATGAACACTATGGGACCAAATTAATGCTTTACTGCAAGTCTGAGAAAGGTCGAGCTATCTCTACAGATGCTGTTAATAGATGGAGCAGGGTGAACATTTTTTCTGGAGCACTGAATAATCTTCAAAACAAATTTTATGGATTCCAAAAATGTAAAAAGTTACCAATTTACGTACTTTAAATTTGTGGTCAGTGCACATTTGGTGCTCCAGACAAAATTTTCACGTAGATCGAGACTAGTGGTGTACTTAACTTTGTTTAAACATGATCAAGTAGGAATGGATATCCTAACCAGTAGAGATGCAGTTCGCGTGCCATGTCTTACAGTAAGCCGGCCAGTAGTTCTAAGAACAATGAGAAGATTACTAGGAGATTGCTCCTGAAAGATGCTATAAAGCGTATTCGTTTATTCATCATTAGTGATAGAAACTTAAAAACCTTAAAAGCCATCGATCTCATCTTGGAAATAAAAGAATTGACCTCATTCTTTTATCACAGTGAGATTCGCAGAAAAATCACTTCGCTTCGTAAAATCGGTATGGCTATGAAGTCATAGTCATGCCGATCGAGACAAAGCAAACTGATTGATGCCGAGAGAGAGACCTTAGGAAGAATCAACCCAGTTGAAAAACTGAGCCGATTTCCACAAGTCATTAAAGATCACTTTTAGTCGCACTATACACTTCACTTTCCCCCACTGTTGCAAAATAATGCAACCATGCATAGAAAAGAAAAATCCTACCTTTATAAGGCTGCTCATCGAAAATCTGAAACAAGAAGAAAAATAAGTTAAAACAAAATAATAGAAATTGATCTGAAATTAATCAAAAAAGGTAATGTTGGGGGTGGGGGTTATTTATTGAAAGAGACACCCTAGAGGTGAGGTACTTTTGCGTTACATTTGCTATTACGTCTTAATGAAGATGTGAACATTTACCTTTAGCCTTTTATTAATCCACTTTTGCTTAGGAAGAAGCACCATCACCATGAGTTCACGATCACCACGGGCTACTGGTGTGCATTCTCCTCGAACGCCATTACCAATAACTGAAAAAAAATTACGTAAAGTTTTGTGTTTCTATAATGGTCAGTGACGTGCTCACCTCGTTTGCGTGAACCAAGTCCATTATAATCGTTGAACTGGGTCGAAAGCAGGCTTGAATTCGATCTGATCCATAGCAGAGGTCGTCGGCGGCGTTGGATTAAGGGGGAGACTATGGGGGTTACAACCCTGGATATTAAATTATTAGGCCCAGGACTGGAGAAGTCGTAAGGTACGTTCAGGTTCAAGATGGAAGGATTTTCGACAAAACTTCAAATCGGAAACTTGTAAATACAAGCTACGTGATACGGAAGGTGCCATGGAGGACGTCGAAGGTAAACTGAAGAAGCCAATTGAAGATAAATCCATCGGTGATGATACTTTGCGATTAGCCAAGCACAAGAAGTCTGAAAGTAGCGCTCTGCTCATTTTCACAACGAACAAGACAGAAGAGACATTAAAAAGGGTAATGAGATCTGCGACAGCGTGTGAAGTCTGGCAGGAATTGCATATAGATAGCTGTTCCTAATCTGCAAAATCCTAGATGCACTGGAGGACGAGTGCAAATCAAGAGTTCCTAGTCAGAAAAAAGAAGTTATGCCAAAAGCAAAGAAAAAGGGAGAGTGCTACTATGGCTCTAAGATCGGAATCAAGTTCAGAATATTACGTTAATGGTAAATGTTTTGCTCTATGAGTCTAAAAAGACCAAGGAAAATTGGTACGTCGACAATTGCTATCACAAGTAACGTGTTTCATGAATTTGATTCAAGTCACAAGGTTAAGACAGTAGATGGCACGACAGTTCCTACTAAAGGAAAAGGTACGGATATTGTGAAGAATCATAAATGAGAAGAATATAGGAATTTTTAAGAATTTAAATACAGCCGCGAATGCCCTAAATTGCACCTGTAAAACTGAGAACAATGGTCCAAGATCTAACACCTGCGAATAATTGAAAGTGAATGCTACACTCACATTCCAAATCAAAAGCGTAGAAAAGCTGTAATGGGGCAAGCTGGTTGGATATAAAAATGACGATGGTTATCGGAGACAGATGTTGAAATTAACATTTCAACGAGGATGCCAAATCAATGCGAATGAATGAAAAAAAAGGTAGGAGTGAATCCAATTGTAAATCAGCCCGAATGTACACTCAGAGGATAGTGTTCCTAATCAAGAGCTCTAGAGGGAGAAGGAGTGTTTCAGCCAGCTCCTGATGAACATCCTAGACTTATTGAAAATGAAGATCACGATCATGAAGTGGATTCACCTGTTGTCGAAGTGCCTGAGAAACGAGTCGACGTTCACGTGTTGAAGACCCGAGGCACAAGCTCAGAAGCAGAGAAGTGATTATACGTGCCTCAAGAAGAACAACGGGTATGTTTGCCTTATAAGCTCAGCCTTCCCAAATAGGTACGTTCCAGGAAGCAATGAAGAGAGAAAATCGCAAGAACTGGCAAAGTGCAACGATGAATCGTAAATTAAAGTCACTTAAAGGAAAAGGCGGGTGGACGTTGTACGGACTTCTACCTTTCAAGTGGGTTTACAGAATCCTGCAGATCTAAGGGGCAATTAAAAAGTATAAAGCACGACTCCTAGTAAAATAAGGTAACGAAGAGGAATTGATTACGAACAAACTTTCAGTCCCGTACCCAGAATGACTACAATTAGACCATAAGTGCTAAGGAAAAGTTACACGTGACACAGTTCGACATTTCCACAGCGTTCCTAAATGGAAAGTTGATAGAGAATATATTTATGCAGCAGCCGATGTGGCTTCGAAGGTCTGTCAATTAAACCGAAGCTCGTATGGTTTGAAACATAAGCACTAAGGTGCTGAATCTCCTGCTTTGAAAAGATCCTTCGTGAAATGGATTTTAAGCAGAAGAACGCTCATTGCTGCCGAGTTATGAAAAACTCACAAATGAGTTTTCATCCGATCTGAGACTGAAATTGAAAATTACTGAAAAACCGACCTCACTCTACTTAGATTTAGGGATAGAGCAAATGGGAAATTTTTTTCTATTCCTACAAATCAGAAGAAATTTGGAGCTTGGAAATATCTGCCCATTAGCAATACCTCAGAGGGTGGCAAGCGAGCAAGTATATCAAATTGAATGGTGCAACTCTAATCTCTTGTAAACCAACTAAAAGACCAAAAAATTTAGTTTCATGTTTGATTGTTTGATGACAGTCTTAAATGGTAAAAAGATGCAAATGGAATTTTAGTTAAGGCCCTTCACGTTTGATTAATTGCTATATGCATCATAGGAAAGATAAAAGGCAGAGAAATTTAATTTTTTTATTCGTATCATCGTTTGATGTATCCAGTGGCGGATTTACATATAGGCACGTGCCTAGGGGCTGCAGCTTTAGAGGGCGGCATTTTTTGCACTATAATATATATTCATTTTAGATAACATTTTAAGTTTTAAAATAAGTCCCCTAACAAGTTACAAATGACAAAAATCTTCGATTAAAATTATGAAATAAATTGGAATTGGTAGATAGTTTAAACAAACTGTAACTGTAAGAACAATAATCGACAATCCAAGTTTTGACGTGTGTAAATACTTAATCTTAGGTATACTGTATTTCTTTTCATATTAGTTTAAACAATTTCAAGTTATAATTTGATTTTTATTAGCATCCTAGAATTTATTGCAATTTAAAATTTATTTTGGGGCGGTGTGCCTAGGGGCGCAAAAAATTTAAATCCGCCACTGGATGTAACATACGAATTTGTCAGTTAAAAGCTTGAGGGGGGGGGGCGTTCGTAGATAGCCCCCTGTCTCAGAAATCCTTAATCTGCCACTGATTGCAGCCCTTCGAGAATCTGCAACAAGAAAAATTTAAGTTAAAAAACGCCAAAACATATATGTATAAGGGGGGGGAGGGTCTTTATTGAAAGAAAGAGCAAAAGGCAAAGTACTTTTTGCATTACATTTGATA